TGTTCGTTGTATCCGTTGTTTACTGCTATTTGCTTAATTATATTTAATTCTGTCTCAAAGTTGTATTTTGACGTCGGAATTTCTGTTAATCTATGAAACATACTATGATAAGCTGTCAGTTTATGTTGTGTTGGATGGGATGATGAATTGTGTATAGTCGTATCAGTATGTGTAGGTTTATGAAATATGGAGAAGTCATGTTTGTTTTTAAGTCTGATAATTTTTATATCTAAAAAATTTATGGATTGATTTTGTTCTGTTTCTATTGTAAATTCAATATGACTATGAAGTGCATTAATATACGATAAAAATTGGTCGAGTTGCCTGTTAGTTCCTGTGAAACATACCAGTACGTCATCTACGTATCTCCACCAATATAGAAATTGTTTGAATACGGGATGTTTTGAAATATGTCTCTAGATGGTCCATAAAAATATCTGATCTTACATCGGTCAAACTGGTAGAAACTTTAATAAACGAATAGCAGAACATAAAAGGGCTTTCAATAATAGAAAAACAGATTCGACATACGCACTTCAACTTCTAGATCATAATCATTCTTTTAATGACAAATTTAAAATTCTTCACATTCAAAATAAAGGCCTTAAGCTATCTTTGTTAGAATCTATGGAAATCAACAAAAACACAGATATAATTCTGAATGACCAAATTGAGACAAACATTTCTCCCCTCCTCAACCTATTTCATTAGAGACTATAAATTGTAAACGCATGCCAAAAATAGATCACTTGAGAAAGGCAATCAGCCGAAACAGCTGTAGTGATAATAGTTAAAATAAATTTTGTTATATATAAATAAATAAAGTTTGAAAACAAAGTTTTCAGTGTTTTATTGTTACATAAAATGAATTTCCATCAAGTAACGGTCGAATCCATCAATTAGTGAGACTTTTGATTGATAAACTTATGTGATTTTTATCATCATTCTACATTATGTACAAAATAAGTAATCCAAGGGCTAGTAGTAGACGAAAATATGCAAAGGTTAAAAGTTAACAAAAAAAAAATAGTAACTGAATACCAAATCCTAAATGTGACTTGGGACAATAGTATTATTTTCATGTTTCAAGCTGTCGAGTACGAATATTTACGGAAGAAAGTTCATTTTACTTGGTTTAAACAGTGGTCCTTTAGGAAGTTAGAAAACTTGGGGCCAAAGGAGATTGAAAATATGTTTTTTGAAAACAACGAAAACATAAATTTAGCATATAATAGCAGTGACGCAGAAGATGTTTTGCCTACATCGTTTTCAATCGATGGTGCTTCAACGTCAAAAGGAATATCCATCTAGGCAAAGACTGCCTGAAAGGCAGTGACTTTTACGAGTGACCAGCAAATTAAGGAAAGCGAGTTTGACCAGCAAAATGGAGGAGAGGATGGAGAAGACGAACAAAATGATGAAGGTGGATCGGATAATGAATACTGTGAATTTGTGTGGTCGAAAATAGCAAAACACCCGGTAGGCTACAATAGTTTTAATTTTAAAGAAAACACAACGCATTGTACCAGAAAATTTAGAAAAACCTATTCAATATTTTTGTAATTTTTGAATAAGTACGCAAATTAAAAAGGAGTAAATTTATATTTGAATACAGATGAGCTAAAGGCGTTTTTAGGCATTTTGATAATCATGGGATTCCATCAATTACCTGGTGTAAGATTATACTGGTCAACAGAAGCGAATTTTACCGGATTAGTAAAGTCATGACATAAAAGAGATTTCTACACATTCTTGACATGACAATGAAAATATGGCTCTACGTGACAATTTTACGTCCCAATTTTAATAAACTACAAAATTCGTCCTTTGACTAATATTCTTAACAACTTATTTTTAAATTCTTTTATGCCTTCTCGTCATATTGCAATTGATGAAAGTATGGTCGGATTCAAAGGGCGCAAGTCCATGAAACTATACATGCCCCAAAAACCTATCAAGCGAGGTTTTAAAATATGGGTAAGGGCTTCCGTAACAGGGTTTAATTTAGGATTTAAAATTTATGAAGGTAAGGAACCTATTACCAATAATAAGTGGGCTCTTGGTGATAGAACTATTCTGCAAATGTCACAACCGTTTCAGGGTAAAGGTTACTGCTTGTATTTTGATAATTTTTTTAATAGTTTTCCTTTGTTGCGTAAATTGCTAGAAACGGATACTTTTGCTTGTAGAACCTTGGGTCAAAATAAAAAGCACTATCCCAAACAACATCTATTAGCTGATAAATCTTTCAAACGGGGAGAGTACGATTATTGCACAAATGATGATTTATCCATTTGCAAATGGAAAGATCGCGGCCAAAAAGCTGTGCTTCTTGCTAGTAATTTTCACGATCCCTCATCAAAAGCTACAGTCGAACGAACAAATATTAAAGATGAGAAAGAAAATATTCCTTGTCCCCAAGTAGTATATGACTATAACATTCACATGGGAGGTGTAGACAGGTTCGACCAGTATATTTCTACTTATTCAATTCAATGGAAAAGTGTCGATGGTGGATGAAGCTCTTCTATTTTCATATTGATGCTGCTATTGTAAATAGTTACATTTTGTATCGATTCAATGTTCTTCAAAATAACAACAATGCAAAACCAATGACTCATCTATCATTTCGCAACATATTAGTCAATTAATTAATAGGAGACTATGTGGGGCGCAAAATAAAAGGTCCTTTTTCAAATTATGGTAAAGATAAAATAAATCAAATCGACGGGCGCAAATTATCTGTACTAAACCTAACTCGAAAATATGATGTAGGTAAGCAGATGCCAACACCAGCAACAAAACGGCGATGTGCTTTGTATAGCACTAAAAAAATGTAAAGAGAACAAAAATTGAATGTAACAATATACTATAGGACTATGTTTATCATGTTTCGAACCATTTGATAAAAAATAAATATATTTTGTTTTTAAATTACGTGGTCCTTTATTGGTACCATCCAACATTTCTTTTACTTCAAGTACATAAACGGTCAATGGTTCCTAACCCTTTCAGCTTCGGTGACGCGTATGCGCGTCCAAATATAACTATAAATTAGTGCCATCGACGCGTAAGCGCGCTTTGTGTATATTATATATTCAAAACGAAATTATTTCTGTCGGCAATTGACCTAAAGTTTCTTAATTTTGTGGGCACCTCAATAAAGGTTAAAATTATATAATTTCGTGCTTGGTTTTAGTTCATGAAGTTTGGCATCTAATATTTACATAGCTATGAAATACTGTTTTTTTAACTTTATCTAACTATTTTTGCGAATGTTAATTTATATTTAAGATGTAAAAACGAAATAAACTAATGATTTCGGGATTACCCTAATGAACAAAAGAAGTAGGTAATGTGTTTTTCGGGGAATACCCTAATTTTTAAGTATTTACCGAATGCTGTTATTGGAAATAGTTAATAGTTATCATTTTACGTTCATCGTCTGTGCATATAAGCAGTGATTATTTGTAAAATTAAATTAAAAAATGTCAGGTAAAGATGAAAATCCCAGTTGCTCGGGTGTAAAGAGGAAACGGGAATGGAAAAAAACCATTGACAAAAGAGGAACTACTTCGTATTTTAGACGAAAATACTGATAATGATGATGATATTGATGCATCCAGTGATGATAATTATGTTCCTAAAGTAGATGAAAGTGATGACGATGATGTGGTACCAGATATCGTGTCAATGGTAAGTATGTTTTAAAACTTTTATTCAACACTTCTCACTATAGGTATTGGTTTTAGGATATAAATACCTCTGTTGCAAATAATGATTAAACAGATATATGGGGAGGAAATTCCTAATGCGATGAAGCAGTTTCATTTTACAAAAATACAACAATTGCTAGTTCCTCTTCCTGGTGAAAGACCTATTGATTATTATAGAATGTTATTGACGAATGAAATTTTGCAACATATATGCTACCAAACTAATATGAATGCTGAAAATATATTTTTGAAAACGGAATTTCTGGAAATTCTCGAATAATCCAATGGAAACCTATTACACCCAACGAATTATATATATTTGTGGGAATATTATGTCACATGGGTGGAGTTAAAATGCTCAGATTTCAAGATTATTGGAAAAAGAACGACCCCTTGTTTACCACACCAATGATCTCCTTCCACATGAACAGAAACAGATTTCTGCTTATATTGCGATGTCTATATTTCGTACAAGAACCATCAGATAACGAACCAATACCTGATGACAGGATTTATAAGGTCAGGACGGAATTAAATTTTATATGATGACAGAACCTACCGGTCTTGTTTTAAACTTTATGGTATATACAAGAATGTACGACGATGCTGGCGGCAAAGATCACACCGAAAAAGTTGTTTTTAAACTATTAGAGGGAAAATTAGGCGTTGGTCATTGTGTTTACATGGATAATTATTACAACAGTTTTATTGTGGCCAAAAAGTTGCTCGATGGAAGAACCCATTTTACCGGAACATTGAGATTGAATAGAAAAGATAATCCAATAGATGTAAAAAATGCTGCACTTCAGAAATCAGAAAGTAATGCAAGATATCGAAGCGGCATTTTAGTAGGTAAATGGAAAGATAAAACGAGATATTTACTATATATCAACAGAAATGCAACATGATATGCAAGAAGTTGTGACAAGAAGAGGTAAAAAGGTTTTTAAGGCCGAACACAATTGTCACATACAATGACAATATGGGGGGTATAGATCGACAAGATTAAATGCTTGCCTATTACCCCTTTCAAAAAAAGACGGTTAGATGGCCAAACAAAATTTTTTTTCAGATTATACAAATGATAATGGTGAATTCTCATATTTGGTATAAAAAATATACGGGAAGAAGAGTTGGGCTGTATGAATTTCGTTTGTCTGTTATTAGAGATATGTTGTTTCCAAATGGAGTTTCTAGCGTTGCATCATCTCTTACAGAAAATCAAAATCATATTGTGGAGAAACGTGAAGTCAAGAACAAAAAAAGTGGTATCATGAGAAAAAAGTGTAGAAAGTATTACAAGCGTGGTTTTAGGGGAAGGGCGGGCAAGATGGCATACTTAGTTTATTTTCCATATATCTGAGACATAAATAGAGACAAATTCCTTTTGATGTATAATGATAGCCAGGTCATTTTTCTACTACTCTAAGTAAAAAAAAAATCACTCATACAAAGAGATTTATTTAAAATAAAAAACAAAATCAAAATGTATCAAAAAACCATTTTGCCCGCCCAGTGCGAGCAAAATGGCATAGACATAAACAATAGTGTTAAATACAAAAATAATTATATTATAAGAAAAAAAATTGAAATTAAACATTTTAGTTCATACAAAGTTCGCAAATAAATTGTTTTGCTTTTTTGGGAAGTCCAGCGCAGTCTGAATGTGACCAGTTTTAGCAAATTTTGCATCTTAACCATCCTTTATTAGATTTGGACCTACTAAACGTATCATCGCATGTAAATACAAGCGCAGTCCTCTTGTTCATCATTATAAACACTAAAGGGTTCTTCTTCATCACTTGATATATTGTTCAGTATTGGTCTGGTCACAATATTTCTCTTGCCTTTTCTCTCCGACTGATGTCTATCTTTGTTCACAATGCGTCTTCCATCACTTAAATCATTGACTATTTTTCTTTTCACGACGTCCCCGTTTCTGCTTTTTATTTCTTGTGCTTTTGTTTTCATTTTCTTTTTCGCGGAGATATTTCAGGAAGGGGCTCTCGGTTAATACAACTTGGTATTGACCACATTTACGTTTGGTAGATTTTCTTACATTACTCTGAGTTACCGGTGCCAATTACATCAGGATTCCTTCAATAGATTCATCTTTAGAACCAGATGCCAATGGTTCTTGGACATCATAATGATCGTAAGCTGCAGCGTGACGAACATTAACATCAGCAGGTAGAGATGTAGAAGCAATGTCAGGTTTATTAGTAGAACCAGGCACATCCTCAGGCACATCTGTAGTTGCACTAGGCAAACATGCATGCTCCGGAAAAATGTCACGATTTATAGGTGATACTCCTGTGGCCCGAAAATCATTTATTGCGATTTCAATATTTGCTGTTTTCTCATATGCTTTCTAAAAGAGACTCTCCACTTGATATATTGTTATTGCACGATCAGAATTTTTTCTGAGCCAATGAGTAACAACTTGATTAAAATATTTATGGAGTGGTCCGAAAAAGGCAACATCCAATGGCTGAAGGCGGTGCGTGCAGTGTACCGGCAGGCAAAGTAATACCACTGAATTCTGTTTAGCAAATTCTAAAGCTTCGTAGCTTTTATGGCTGGAGTGTCCGTCTAAAATTAATAATGCTTTCTGTGCAGGATTCGGCCTGACATGGTCAATGAAATGTTGCATCCATCTTATGAACAAATCTCCGGTCATGTGTCCTGATTCATTATACAATTTTAATATTCCTACAGGTACGCCGTCATATAAAAGTGGGTTAAATATTTTTCGAGGAAAAATTATTGATGGCTGTACGTAAGTACAAATGTTGTGTGTACACCCCTTTTCTGCGCTCGTGATAGAGCCCACTTGTTTTTTTCCTTTCTGAGCAAAGACTTTTGGCGGAACTTGGACGGTGGTCAACGCTGATTCGTCCATGTTGAATATCATGGTATTTTGAATTTTGTGTTCTTTAACAACTTCTTCTAACTTATCAAAACATTCATTTACCTGAAGCTTATTGAATGCCTCGGCACGTGCAAGTACGTAGCTTCTGGAAGACGTAATGATAATTGCGGATTTAGTTGGCGAAAACCATGCAACCATCCTTTGCTAGCCATCTTGTTCACTTTATTGAACGGATGATTAATCTTCATTTTCTCTGCAATGCTATAGGCTAGCTTGCATAAGTCTGCTCTCGTCACGCCAAAAAACCGGGATTCAAGATACAGAATGTGGGCAACTATTGCAGTCTCCATATTATCTTCGTTTAAAACTGTTGCCAGGGAGCCCAAATGTTTTTTGGTTCAATGGCAATTTTATTTTTATAACCTGCTCGACGTTGTAATGTTGAAAACGGTACATGAAATGTATTGCTTGCTTTAAGCTAACCCATTTCGGAATTTCGGACTGCCTTCAATGCTCTTTGCATGTCTTCCTCACTCCAACTATTTCTGTTAGACTTCCTTTTATATGAATAAACCATCTGCAAAAAAAACTGAATATGTACTTTAACCTGAAAAACATACGGGCAAAAATGGCATAGTATGTTATTTTGCCCGCCATAATGCTATGCCATTTTGCCCGTTTTGTATTTGCCGACTACTGACAGTTGAAAAAAATTAATAATGGAAATAAACACAATTTTTATTTAAGGTCACATGCAGCATATAAAACATAATTACCAAAAAGGGAATTCAAAAAGCTCTATAACCTTAATTTAATAAATTAGGTATTGAATAAAACTTACATTGACGCATCGAACTCGACCAGCACTTATTCACAAATACACCAATCTCGTGACCGGCCGTTAAATGGACCACAGGAGTGATGACGTATATTTGATTGACATCTGCCAGTTTCACTTTCCAAACAAACGTTGTTTAGTGTGGTTAATTTGTATTTTTCGTGATTTTTTCATTTATTTTATAGAATCTTTCCGCTTTTTGCAATATTTAAGTATTCTAATAGTTACTACATCAATTTTACAAGGTTGTGTAAATAATAAAGCACATTGTTTTATGCTAATAGGAATAAAATGAAAGTATCAATAAAGTAAGGTTAAAATTTCTTTAATTAAACTTTTAAACCATATTTCATAGAAATAGAACTCTGAATTATGACGGTATTATCGTAAAAACACTATACTTACAAGAAAAAAGCAGCAGAGGAAGCAAAATGTTAACTTTATAGCAATTAAAAAGTCTTGAGATTTGACATTTCAACGTTTGTTTGGAAAGTAATAATGACATGTGACGTCACACTCCTGCGGTCCATTAGGTGCACGAGACTTAATGTGGACAGTGTTGCCACTGTTTATATTAAGTATCCAGAATTGCGGTGACGTAGAACCGTTAGCTTAACTACGAGAACAAAAACCATTTTGCCTGCCTATGTCATTTTACCCACCCTTCCCCTACGCAAGGATACTATTTATGAATGTAATTCTCGTCCAGACAAAGCAGACTTTTGTTTATCTGTTGTACAATAACTCATATTTAAAAATGTTGAAAGATTTTGTAGTTTCCAATATTTTGCCTGAATTTTTATTTTGTTTTTTCTCTAAGTAATAAACACTTTTTACATTAAACTTTTTTATTAATTTCCGCCTTTATTCCAAAACTATCACTTTTACTCTTACTACATTTACAGACGCTTTACCGCGTCATGAAGCGTGTATGAGTGTATACTATACTGCAGTGCCCACGACGCGCTAGTGCGTCTGATTTTTTCTTAATTTCAACAGTGGAAAATTTTATGTCTCGACGTATAATTAACTATTTTTTTATGTAATTCAACTGATATAATTGGGTTAAAGAAAATTTTATATACTGGCATCACGTTGCTGCTTGGAAATATTAAAGAACAGCTGAAAGTGAAGTACACAAACGGTCAGTGGTTCCTAATCGGACCACCCCTTAAATTATAACTAAAAAGAAGAATAATTTTTTTCAAGGGTTAAGCAGATTTTTGATACATACACTAACACATCAAGGGTCAATTCTGCAGATCTATTTTTTCTGTCATACTTCTTTCTAACAACGTGCAAGATCTTTTAAACTTTGCGATTTTCTTTTATCAATTAGTTAATGGATTTAGGTGTTTTATTAAGATGCATAGATTTTTTGAGATTTAACCTATGTTCTCTTTTTGACTGACTCAGTTTTTTTACTCGGTAAACAAACGGGGAACATGTTTTTTGTGGCATTCCATTACAATAATTATGATCTTGGGATAAATTTACATATAAAATTAGAATTATAATTATTATAGATATAACCCATAATTTTATTTCATACTTTTAATGTGAGATTAAAATAATTTTATTATTTATTAATGATAAACTCATATAAAACATCTTTTTGTAGACAATTTTAAGTGCTTCCAGTGGAGTACCTATTGACTTTGAAGTACTCAAATTGTTTGTGAAGGTTTTAAATTATCAAAATCATTTGATGGGTTCTCTATTTCAATTCATTTGAATCTTTTTTTTTTTTTCAAAATTAATGTATACATTTGGGATTTTCTTAATTTATTGTTTTTCCTGTTTTTTTACACATACAAATTGTTTAATTTTATGACTTATTATGGCTTAATATACATTTTTTCTTCATACATTAGATCCAGCACCTCTTTTTTCTTGGTGATCTTCTTGTTAGTTTCTTTCCTATTGAACTTGTATCTCTTACAGTCTTGATCATTATATAATTCACAATTCTCGTTACATATTGTTTGCAGTTTCTTCTTAATTCTCTCATCGTATTATCTCCTAATTAACGTATTGTTGTCTATCATCTTTCTTACTCAGTTTCATTAGTTTCCGCGACTGTGGATATTAATGATCACATTTCGGTTGTTATTAGGGTCCTGTTTTGTTTTCTTTATATTAACTCTCACTTAAATCGCACATGTAAATATTTGTGTATATTCTTGTTTTTGTTTTCATTCCAGATGCTTATTCTTCCATATTATATCTTTTAACAATCCAATACTCACGTAGCTTTTTGTTAAACAAAAACTCTTGTGTTTCTGAGGCTTGTTAGCCGGTTCTTTGAGCAATGATTCTTTTTTAAGATAGGTAGGTTGCTAATCTACCAAATGCAATAGAAACCAAATACAACTTGGATAGCCTCAACCATGAAAGCACAAAGGCACTGTACAAAGGCGATTCGATGAAAAGCTCTTACAAGAAAACTCTGATAGTGTTGAGCACCATTACAATGACATAAAACAATGTCTCAAAAGTGCAGCAGAAGGAGCCCTACAATATAGATGAAGAAATCGAAGAAAAAAATTAAGATTAAGATAAAATACTGATCAAAGTAAAAACGAATATAGAACAGCCCAAAGAAACGTACGAGATGAGATAACTAAGAAGGAAAGAAACTGCTCCAGAGTAAACACTTACTTGGGGAATAGCAGAAGCACCGAACGCTAGAAAATACTTCGATCTCTTCGACAAGATAAGACTAAAGACATCATCTCACCGATCAGCCTAGATAAATGGGACGAATACTTCGCAAATCTACTGGCGGAAGAAAGGGCAGAATATTTGCAAACACAATCAGAGGTGCAAGTACATACAATAGCTTCCCAATTAGGATTGACGACAAAGAAGTAGCACGAGTATGCCAAGCATTAAAGAATAGAAAATCACCAGGCCCTAGCATATCTCACCTGAGCTACTCAAGTACTGTACAAGCAAATTATATAAGTAGCTAGCCAGCCTTTACCAAAAATGTATTAACGGTGAGAGTATACCGGAGGAGTGGAGGACATCGTTTATCACGACAATACATAAGAAGGGAGGTAAAGATGTATGTGACAATTATCAAGGAATAGCAGTTTTTAGCACCATCTTAGAGTTTACGGGGGGAAACTCATCAAAAAGAGAATGGAAAATGAATTCTGTGGTATGGAGGCCGAAGAACAGGCCGGCTTTAGAGCAGATAGATCAACTATGGACCATCTGTTTACTATTACCGGCTAATCGGAAAAAAAGTAGCACGAAATCAACCAATACATCTCCTCTACGTGGACCTTAAAAAATATTATGATAGTGTTCCACAACAAAAACTCTGGGAAGTTCTCGAGAAAACAAATATTACTGTAACCTTAATCAAGGCTGTTCAAGACCTCTAAAAGATCAACACAAGTAAAATAAAGAAAGGTCAGAAGATATCCATGGGTTTTCTATCATGAAAGGACTTAAACAAGTATACTGCGTGTCTTCCACGTTGTTTAAGATCTATTCGGAGAATGCGATGAAGGTGTGGAAAAGAAAAAACAGAAACATGGGAATTCCTCTAAACGACGGACGCAATATTGTACACCTTGTATAAAGACCTGTATATATGACCTGTAAACTTATCAAAGAATAGTGTGGAAAAGAAAAAGCAGAAACATGGGAATTCCTCTAAACGACGGACGCAATATTGTACACCTTGTATAAAGACCTGTATATATGACTGTAAACTTATCAAAGAATACGAACCATGGGGGCTAGAAGTAAATATCAAGAAAACTAAATACATGTGTATTGGGAGAATTCAACAAAATCCAATCCTGGAAATACAGCAAGAAATAAATAACTGTCAAAAATACAATATTTAGACATGCAAATAACCAACTAATTACTATTTATAACTGGGAATAAGCCACAATTAAAGATAAAAATACGTTTATTGACGTTTCAATTTCCAATTCGGAAATCGTTCTCAAAATACAAATAGTAAATTAAACAAATTTTGTTTTTTTGTTACATAGTGAAAAAATTCTTGTAATAATTTAATTTTATCTGACTCATTTATATTGACAATTCAGACACACATTATGCATTTTAAAGTAGACGACTTTAAAATGATATTACCAATATTGTTGAGTTGCGCTCCTGGGACGACTTTACTTATAAGATAGTTCATTCGATTACATGAAATCAACTTTAACTTGAGAATATCCGTCAGAAAAAATCATAGCATGTAATTCGTCTTTAAAAAGACAAACACATGACATGATGACAGTAAAATTCTCCTGTTAGTGATTCCATAGTAAATTATGAGGGAAAAACCAGGAAAAAAACCTCATAATACTATCTCGACATTGTAAGTATTTGTTCGTGAATTTAGTTTACCTTCAACAAACATCAAAATTCTGATTTTATATGTTACGTTATTTCAAAAACATAAATGATGTATCCTCTATATGTTACTGACTTACTAATACTGGTATTTTCTTATTAATAACTTCCTCTTTCAATATTGGTAACCAGATCCTACTACATTCTGCCGAGGAATTTGCGACACAATTGGCCTCATTTAGCATAATTAGAGCCGCTTCTTTGATTTTTCTTTTTTTACCATCCGTTTCTTTTAGGACTATATTTGAATTATTCCATTGAACTCTATGTTCATTATCCCATGCGTGTTTACATATTTGAGATCTATCAAATTCTCTATTTTTAATATAAGATTGATGTTCACTTATTCTAACATTTAATGGCCTTGATGATTCACCTAAATAAAACTGATCGCATTCACAAGGTATTTTATAAATGCAATTCTTTGTCCTTTCTTGTTCATTGTTAGGTTTGGTTTTGGACAAAATAGATCTCAACGTGTTTGTTGTTTTGAATGTTGTTGAAATGTTGAATTTATTTCCTATCCTTTTAAGTTTTTCTGATAGTCCTTTTATGTACGGTATTGTTATTTTCCTCATATTATTCCTTGAGTATGCTGTAGGATCTCGTTCTAAGTTGTTCTGTGCTAATTCATAAATTAGCCAAAATTACTTGTTCTAACGAAAATTCGTTCTTGGAGGAGAAACATTTGTTAACATCTGTTTTATTAAAAAATGATTATCCTTTATCGTTTATAAATAAGGAATTTTCAACAATCGATCGAATAGAACAGAACAACTTAGAACGAGATCCTACAGCATACACAAGGAATAATATGAGGAAAATAACAATACCGTACATAAAAGGACTATCAGAAAAACTTAAAAGGATAGGAAATAAATTCAACATTTCAACAACATTCAAAACAACAAACACGTTGAGATATATTTTGTCCAAAACCAAACCTAACAATGAACAAGAAAGGACAAAGAATTGCATTTATAAAATACCTTGTGAATGCGATCAGTTTTATTTAGGTGAATCATCAAGGCCATTAAATGTTAGAATAAGTGAACATCAATCTTATATTAAAAATAGAGAATTTGATAGATCTCAAATATGTAAACACGGATAGGATAATGAACATAGAGTTCAATGGAATAATTCAAATATAGTCCTAAAAGAAACGGATGGTAAAAAAAGAAAAATCAAAGAAGTGGCTCTAATTATGCTAAATGAGGCCAATTGTGTCGCAAATTCCTCGGCAGAATGTAGTAGGATCTGGTTACCAATATTGAAAGAGGAAGTTATTAATAAGAAAATACCAGTATTAGTAAGTCAGTAACATATAGAGGATACATCATTTATGTTTTTTAAATAACGTAACATATAAAATCAGAATTTTGATGTTTGTTGAAGGTAAACTAAATTCACGAACAAATACTTACAATGTCGGGATAGTATTATGAGGTTTTTTTCCTGGTTTTTCCCTCATAATTTACTATGGAATCACTAACAGGAGAATTTTACTGTCATCATGTCATGTGTTTGTCTTTTTAAAGACGAATTACATGCTATGATTTTTTCTGACGGATATTCTCAAGTTAAAGTTGATTTCATGTAATCGAATGAACTATCTTATAAGTAAAGTCGTCCCAGGAGCGCAACTCAACAATATTGGTAATATCATTTTAAAGTCGTCTACTTTAAAATGCATAATGTGTGTCTGAATTGTCAATATAAATGAGTCAGATAAAATTAAATTATTACAAGAATTTTTTCACTATGTAACAAAAAAACAAAATTTGTTTAATTTACTATTTGTATTTTGAGAACGATTTCCGAATTGGAAATTGAAACGTCAATAAACGTATTTTTATCTTTAATTGTGGCTTATTCCCAGTTATAAATAGTAATTAATTTACAATGCCACAAGAAAATAGCTTCAGAACAAATAACCAACGATGGCAAATTAGACAAAAGAAATTAAACAGAAATAACCAGGCAAGCCGCTAGACAATTAAACAGTGTACTGTGGGACAAAACAATCTCCACAGAATTCAAACACAAAATTTCCAACAAAACACAGTGAGATGCAAAATTGTATTGTATAACGAAGAAATAATAGAACAAGTATCGAAATTCAACTAAGTACCTGGGAACGCAAATATCGTATTGTGGAAACACCTTCGAAGAAACCAGCATACAAGCTCAACGTACATGTCAGAATGCCTACGGGACATCTTCTTCTTCTTCTTTTTATATAGACATGAATCTGTCTGTTTTTCAATGTGCTTCTAAATAAA